TACACAGTTCCTATTAGTATTTACTTCTCTAAACACATTAAATAGTTCTTTATCCATAATCTAGAACAGCTTCCCCCCAGTAGCTTTTTCAACCTTCTGAAATAAAAAGTTGTCTGCAATGCAGTCCAAGAACTTATTGTATAGTCTGTGCCCCGCTGTGTTATTTTCCCAACATATATCTGGATAGTTGAAGTCCCCCATCACCATCCAATCTTGGGCTTTGGATGATTTTGTTAGTTGTTTAAAACAAGCCTCATCCACCTCTTCCACCTGGTTAGGTGGCCTGTAGTAGACTCCTAGCATTACATCACCCTTGTTTTTTACCCCTTTTAGCCTAATCCAGAGACTCTCAACACTTCCGTCTCCTATGTTCATCTCCACCTCAGTCCAAGTGTGTACATTTTTAATATATAAGGCAACACCTCCTCCCTTTTCCCCTGTCTATCCTTCCTGAGCAAGCTGTACCTATCCATACCAACATTCCAATCATGTGTATTATCCCACCAAGTTTCGGTGATGCCAATAATGTCATAGTTGTCATCCTGTATCTGACCAGCATGAGGGGGATGGGACTGTTTGCCAGTGAGTTTCACAGGTATTTGCTGACAGCAGAGGAATAGTGAGACTCAGGACTTATCTATACAAAGAGTTACTGAGTGGCAAGCTATTACACCACAGATTTATACCCCAGCATGCTGCACACAACCTAGCCGTGGACTCTTCTTACCTCATGATAAGAGTTCCATAGTATACTACAGAATGTGTGTGCATGGGAGCATGGGTCCATGTGGCCAGTTAGTATATAGTCAACTAGTGCACCATTGATTTACAACCACCTTGCCATGGACTGTCTCTCCATAAAGACAAGCCCTCAGAAATCTTGAGTTTTGTTTTAAGCTCTGGAGGGAGTATGCTTTGGGGTGCCCGGATTCTTCTGACCTTACTTTCCAAGCACGCCCCTTCTGCCTTTTCATCTTCAACCTGTGCTTGTATCTGTCCTGACTCTTCTCCACCCAGCTCCTTGTCCCAGTGTCATTCTCCTTGCGTACTCCATCCCAATCTCCACTCCTCAGGCTTCTCATCCCAGTCACAGGTTCGTTACCAAGACATTCACAGTTCCCTCTTTCCCACATCTGCTCATATGACCTGTCTGTCTTCCATACCTTCATCTCCAGCCACCCCCACACATGTACATTCCTGGTTGCCCCTGGCTCCCATTCTTAATCTTCCTCTCCCTGCGTTCCTCATCCAATCTCAGTGTCTTCTCCCTAATTCCTTAGCCAATCTCTTTGCCCAACCAGTACCAGTTCACCACCACCACCACAGTGATTTTTAAAAGGTCCATGAATTTAGCCAATTTAGGGCAGATTTTTACAGGGACACAAAGGCTGGCTCCCTGCTAAGTTTCAAGTCCCTGCTCCAAAGCAAGGGGGCACTAGAACTACTCAAAATGAAGGTCACCAGAATATTTTAAATGGGCAAACACTGCATTTGCCTCTAGCCTCATTCTTGGAAAGTGCTGAAACATATTGGCTGTAATTTCCACCAAAATAATTAATCCTGACACCTAGCATGGAAAATTTCAACCCAATTGGTTAAAGTTTGTCAACATTATAAGAAACTAAAAACAAGGTTCTCTAATGGGAAGTGTCAGGCAACCTTAATAATAGGTGGACCTACCACCTCCATCTGTAACTGAAAACTAGTATTCATGTAAAGTGTTTGAAGTGGTATTTTTGAGACTGATGAAACGAGCTGGAACATAATGCAAAGTGGAGGTTTTGCATATTACCCTTATGTTCTTCCACTCCTTTCCTAAAACAAGGCTAAGATCAGCCTTGACATCACTGCTTAAGTTATTTATAACGTTTTTCTAAAAACCTCTTCCATTATATGTATGACTTTTTGTATGTGTTTTGTTTTACTGGTGCCAAAATTTTCAACATATGCACAAACACATATATATTTTGGTTGCTGATATGTGCATCTCTTGATGAACACGAGTACTAGACAGCAACTTCCATTAAACTGTTTTATTTATTTTATTATTTTATTGTTTGTATTGTAGTAGTGCCACCAATCCCTAATCATGGACCATGACCCCACTGCATTAGGCACTGTACAAACACAGAACAAGAGAAATGGTCCAAGTCTCAAAGAGCTTACAGTCCAAATAGTCTAAAAATCTAAACATTCTTACAGCATAAATAGTGCCCTACCATTTTAAACTGCTTCAAAGCCCAGACAGACTATAGGTAGCCCTATAGTGAAGATGAAGGCTACTTGATGGGTATGTTATTCCATGGGAATAGCTGCAGTGCCTAGGAGGACTCAATATTCCTTGCATATAAAAAGAATACCTCCAGAACAATTGCAGAATCTGATTAAAGGACTATGAAATGAAGCTTAGTTGTTCAGTGACAATGCTTGAACTTCACATGGCAAACACTCTCTTAATTTTTTTTTTAAAACATTAATAAATTTACAGATTCCAAGGCCAGAAGGGTCATCTAGTTTGACCTCATGCATAAAAAAGGCCAAAAAACCTCATCTAGTAATACACCGCTACCTCGATATAACACAACCCGATATAACATGAATTCAGGTATAATGCGGTAAAGCAGTGCTCAGGGGGAGGGGGGGAGCTGTGCACTCCAGTGGATCAAAGCAAGTTCAATATAACGCAGTTTCACCTATAACGCAGTAAGATTTTTTGGCTCCCGAGGACAGCGTTATATCGAGGTAGAGGTGTATCTGCATCAAGCCCATAATTTCTGTTTGAGCTACAGCATCTTTTAAAAAGATATCCAGTCTCGATTCAAAGAAATGGAGAATCCACCACAGCCTTAGTTGTTCATTGTAGTAATATAAAAAGGCATCCAATTATCAAGAGTACAAAAAGGAATCAGCTGAGATCTGTGACAAACTATTGACCATCTGCAAGCATTTTTAGTAACCTACGTAACTCACCAGATTCTATTGACTATATTGGTTTCCATGCAAAAATGGAAGAAATCCCCGCAGCTGCTCTTGAGGGTTTTAAATTTTCACTTCTATTTACAAACCCAACTTTGAATATTGCACATGCTCCAAGACTATTTTTAAAATACAAAAATAAAATTTTTAAATTTTCACAAAGCCAAACAGAATCCTGAAGGTGCACTCTACACAGTCAGCTCCAAATCACATGCAACAGATTACACAATTAAAAGATTAAATAATAAATTCATACCACACCAGCACTCTGTTACCTGAATGCACATTCCCAACATTCCCTCCAAGAATCAGTTTCCACACTGTAAATTATAACAGCATCGGGGCTGGGAGAAGGGGATAGGGAATTCACAGCAGCCTTCTCCCCTCTGCTGAAGGAAGTGGGAAATATATGCCTCCCAAAACTTTCCACAGTGCTTCTCTACACACACACACACACGTACGTCATGTGACAATGGGAAACGATCACAGAAAATCACATTCTTCTCATAGTGAAGCAAAACTTTAATGGAATAAGGAAAACAATATTATCCTAAAAGCTACAATCTCTCCCAGCATTTCACTTTACAACTTCAATGTGGAACCTTCCCTTGGCCCCGTCTGGCTTATTAATTGAAAATTAAAATACAATATAATAAAAACACTACCACCACCACCACCACACGTCCTCACTCTTTGTACATAGAATTGCTGATACTCGTTTCCAATTCCCCACACAGCATCAGCATTCAACCTGCTATCCCCATGAGATTACAGAAATTAACCTTCATTGTCCCCTAGGCAAACTTCCAATCCCTTTTGGAGATCCAGTCTAACACATTTCTATTTTCTTCCATCCTGTCCCAGCAACAGATATGCACAGATCCTTGCCACGTTCAGCAGGGTTGACCAGCTCCACTCAAAACTTACATTCCAGAAGAAGTTCTGCATGAGGAGAGAAACATGCAGAGAAAACTCTGCTTCTCCTTTGCCATGCAGGTTATACTCCTCTGGGCATGTCCTATACACAGTTCTTAAAGAGAGGCATCTTTCCCACATATACATATTATGAAATACATAGAAGAAAACAGTCAAAATGTATCTAGACCCCAGATGAATGCGTATATGGACAAAGCGGTGATTGAACATATTAAACTTGTTATTTTAGCACTTACTGCTTTGTGATTTATAATGAGAAAGATTTATTTAATAAATAGTGCCCAGGGGAGAATAAGAAGAGGGGAGGAAAAAAAATCATTTTACATTCATTGCTAAAGAAAACTACTGTGGGTGAATTGTTAGAGCAAGTCTCTGATCCCTTTCCCAGATCGTCCTAAACTGGAGAAAGGAGAGATCATAGTACTGAATGGAAAGAAAAATAACCATATCTGTCTGTCAATTATTGTGGAAGTAGAAGATTTCAGTACTTCCTGAGAGGTTTTTAGTGAAATTCCTCCCATGTGTGTGCAAGCCATGGGTGTTCAGAGGGACACTGTACTTCACAAGGAAAGCACTGGCACTCAGAAGAAAGAGTAAGCCAGGCTACAGAGGACAAAAAAAAAGGTTTACCCTAACAAAAATCATGGGAGGTCCATAGTTCATCTTGCAACAGTGAATGTAATTGCAAGCCTAAAAATTGCATTTGAAATTAGGAGAGGAAAAACGATGTATCTTATGCTGATCTCTCTCCCTCTCTTAAAAAAAATTAGCCAAGTCTGCAGACACTCAACTGCCTAATTCTTTATGTTACTGTAATTAAAGGCAATAGTTACAGAGCTGATAAAGGTCACAAGCTGTAAAGTTATCACTTTGGCTAAGATAAGGGTTAACTGCATCAGTGGTATCAAATTGTAAAGGAAACAAAATCAGAATATATTCTGAATAATAGACTCATGTACAATTCCGGAAGTCAATTTGAAGGCTCATTTTCTCAACCTTCAAAGAGTAAGCAAATTATATTCCAACCTACCATCAAACTTCTTGTGCCTGGACACAAAGGTGGTGCGCACAAAGTGACTTGTTTCCTCCACCAAGTTTTCAAACTCCAGTTTGCTCTGTTGGCTCAACTTGTCCTCCATTTCTGTGGTGCAGCATGTATACTCCTGAGGACAGATTCTCAAATGTTCCCCTGCAATAGTAAGAGAAAGTATATTGTTTACTTATAAAAAATGAGCAACAGGTTGTGATTACCTTAATGTACACAGTGCTCATGAAATGCACACCTTTTTATTTAGAGTGCATGAACAAACATACTGATCAAATATAGAAACAATCATCTCTCTGTTAGACCATTTTCCTGACCCTCCAGTCCTAATATGGGGACACTTTGCATCTGACCTACAATTTGGCCTTAATCTTGGATTCCTTGCCATATAGGGACTTTTGTCTTTTCAATGCCATTTTGGTAAGCTTTGCAGTTCAAATGAGACTCTCTCAAGGTTAAACTGATTCTTAATTGAAGAATCCTTTTATGTAAATCTCGAGGACAGTTGCTTGCTCCTTCCTTGCATTTGAAATGTTCTGAGAAATACCCGGCGACCAGGCTAGTAATAAAGCTTTCAGAGCTTTCTCTCTACCAAACCTCAGATATGAGAATTACAAATTTTGGCAGCTTTGCCATACTCTGTTAGACACAAAGGGTTGGCCTGGGGAGAAAAGGGAAGAAAAAGGATGTTTCCCTGATGTGTCTTTCTGCCTGTTTGACTGCCTTAGTACAGCAACGCTTTCTTTCCACTTTCTCCCTTCTGCTCAAGCAAGTGTATTTTAATAGCAATGTTTGGGTTCCACACATTTTCTTGGATGACATTTCTTGTCAGACACAGCAAATGCTCCACTTGAAGCAAGAACGTGATGAAGGGTTTAATTAATGCTTATGTTATATGGAAATGCAATGTAAAAGGTAATGAAAGCCTCTTATTTAATTCAATAGATTTCTCTCTTTATGCAGTGACAATATTGCCTTCTTCAGTGCAATTTCCAAGTGGAAGCCAATTGTGTAGCTCATGAAATTAAAATGGTCTGTTATTACATGAAATGTGAATTTCCAATTGATGTTGTACTCTGGGTGTCAGAAATGTTTAGCCTGGGCTGTATGAAAGGAGGGAAGTCCACCTCCCTGCTGAGAAGTAAGAAAAATGATAGGCCTCTTCTTGTAAAGCAATGAAAGCATTTAGCTTTTCATACACTATATCCTGAATAAATTCCGCTGCAAACCTTTATATGATGCAAATAAGATGATGGACAAAGCTCAAGGGGACTTGATTCTCATTTACACCAAAGCCGCTTTGCACCACTTTGGAGTGTAAAGAGGACTTAAAATGTGTGAGTTTGTAAGCATGAGTGAGAACCATGCTGGGTAGCTTTCAGAAGAGATATAATTTAGTTATTGTACCATCAAAACAATTGAGGTATTAAAAATAAGTACACATGCTTAGAACAAATATTGTGTTGCACGTGAATCTGCCCTTACTTTATTCCATTTTTTTAAAGCCTTTTGCAATCATTCCCAATAACCTTCAAAGATTTAATTTGTTCCTCTTTGAGTTTTCACATAGGAAATTTCTTTTAGATATCTGAAAACTTTACAAAAAATGTAGACATGATACATCTTGAAGGAGGGTTATTTCATCATCACTCTTACTACTTATTTGTACTGCAGTAACAAGGAGGCCCTAGTCAAGGACCACGACCCCATTATGCTAGGCACTATACAAACAAAAAAGAGTGGTGGGTGTTAGTGATGATCTCACTGCTTATTAGAGGTCAGAAATAGAAAGAAGATTGAACATTAGATGCCTTTGAAAATCTGTCATTACAAGCAGATTTGCCCATCTGAAGTGATTATGCAACATTGAGAAAACGTTGCTAGACATCCCCTTTCCAAATGTCAGAAAATCCTCACACAAAAAGACTCAATAGCCTTCTGGTTTTCAGGTGAAAACTCTGAGAAACACGTACTTTCCTCTTTCCAGCTTTGGGGATAGTTTATGCTTCCTTTATATCACAACTACTTATTTTTGTCTCTCTTTTTTCCATGTTCTCATGAACTTTGGAATGTATTCCTTTCCTCTCTTTTTCTCCCACATGTGTTTTTTGTTGGCCTTATCAAATAGTGCACCCACATGTTGTCGTTTCTATTGAATAACAGCTAATAATCAGGGTTCAGTGCTTAACTATGAATAGCCACAGTTCTAGATATTATCATTATTTCATTAAAAATATCAAAGTACAATAAGACCTAAGCAGTTCAGTATTTCAGCTATTTTATAGCATCATTAATTTCCTCTATCCCATTTATTTGCAGGCCTACTTTCTCTTTATTACTGCATCGATCACCAATTTGTTATAAAAGCCCATCTCACCTCCTTGACTGCCAGGAACTCATTCTGTTTATTTTCCTTTTTCTGTCTCTGTCTCTCTCTCTCTCTCTCTCTCTTTTTTTTTTTTGCAATTTTTATTTTTTCCCCTTAACAGACTATGTGTTCTCATTTGTTTCATTACTTATATCCTTACCCAATAATTTTAACCACCACTTTCTTAGTGGTTGAAATGTGGATTTCCTTGTTATCATAAAAACTCTAGATATCTAATACCATTCATCCACTTCCTCTCCCAATTTGTACCCTTCTATATGGACATTCCAGTTATGAGAATCTTCCCATCCGGTTTCAATTATGCCCACTAGATTAGAACAAGCATTAGTAACACTTCTAGCTCATCTGTCTTTTTCCACATACTTCTTGCATCTTAGTGCAGACCTAAAAACGTAATACTATCTGTACTCTTCATATTCTACTTCCAAACAATTTTTTTCTCATTTTATTTCCTACATTGAAAGTACGTGCCAGAATACAGAGTTAAGCAAAAGTTCCCAAGTCGATACTTTCTACCTCAAATTCTCCTGATTCAAAGCTCACTGAAGTCATTGGAAGAGTCTTGCTGACTTCAAATGAACAGGAGCAGGTCCTTAAATCTTATATATAAAACATTGCAGGAGACACTCAGGTCAAGATGTTCAAAACGGACTGTCTGTCTGTTAGGCTCCTGAATCCGTATTTAGGCATTCAGTTAAGTAGCCTGATTTTCAAAATTAATGAGCACACAGCAGCTCCCTGCTTAAGTCAGTGTGAGTTGCTAGATGCTCACAAATTTTGAAAATAGGCTTCTTAACTGGATGCTTAATATGAACTCAGAGCCTAACTTCAGGCACCCAAGTTAAATTATTGAAAAAGCACATAAATGATGTAGGTTTCAAAGTACCTAAGTCACTTGGAGGACTGCTTTGAATACAGAGAGTACTCTGTCACCTGTGCACTATTGAAAAATTTCCCCTTTGTCTATTGTAAGCCTTTAATACACATTTAGTGGCTCTTAAGTTTCACAATATTAGCAGAATCATCCCACTAGCTGTCTTTTATCAGAGTCCTCTCTATGGAAGATGGCCATTTTGGTTTAATTTCAAGCAGGCTCCATCTCCTCTAAGACTGTCCTTTGAACATATGTTTTTACCCCTAAAATCTGCTTTCCTCCAGGATACCAAAGGTAGCTATCTATTGATAGTAACACTCATTCTAGAACACTGATTAAGGAAAAAAATTGTGCAAAATATTAAAAGTAACTAAAACATTTAGCATTTAGTCCCTGAAATCATTGTGCTCCTGGGTGGATAACTCAACATCAAGCTGCATTATGTGCTAAAAGGCTGCACCATTATTACATATTGCACACACTAAAACAACATCAAAAGAACATTATTAAGGTGGCAAAATCAAGCACTCGAGAGTTAGGAAATGCCAGAATTAAGGCTGCTGGTTATGTCCTATTTTTTCCATAGGACCCCTGCCTCATTCAATTCACAGGATGGACAGTGCTAAGTTAATGAGGAACTGCCAGCGTCATTGCCCAGCCAAGCCGAGCTCCCAATCCCTTACTCAACCTGTCCCAGCCTTCCTGCCCAACCAGTCCATGTCTCCCCTTCCTCTGCTCTCAGTCTCCTTGTTCAACCATTCCCAGGCTCCCCTCTCCAACTCACAGTCAGTTTCTTCCCCTCTCACCAGATCCTTTCCCGATCTACTCCTTTCCCTCTTCCTTGATCCTTTGTATTTGAATAGATGGCTTCCTCCTCCATGCTGTCCAGGGCCCAGGTGTGTGTGTGTGTGTGTGTGTGATTAACAGCAAAGGAGAGACAGACTCCCCGCTCTCAGTTCCAGTGCTCAGATACACTCCAGAGCAGCTGGGAGAAACCATTACAGACAAGGAAAATTTTTCTAGCCCACATAGTCCTGGACTGGAGCAGATCAGTGTGTTGGGATGGTCACATATGCAGTCTGGTCACACCTAGAACCTGTGAGGGGCTGAAGCATGCTCAGTGAGGATAGAATCTTTTCAGATTTTAGCTGTTAAGCTCTAGCAATCCTCTAATGAGCCTGGGCAAACTGCATTTTTTTCAAAGGCTTATAACTTACCCAAATTTGGGTAACTTTTCATGGACATGTCAAAAGCACAACTGTGACACAAAGGACACCCCCTGCCAAATTTCAAGTCCCTGTCACGGAACATGAGGGAGCTGGAACATTTAAAAGAACTGGTCCCACAAATTTTTAATACAGGCAAAGCAATGTATTTTCCCCTAATCTCATTCTCAGAAATGGTTGGACTTTTTTGGCTGAAATTTAAAAAAAAAGAAAAAGAAAAAGAAAAACAGATAGTCAGACTGACACCCAACCACCCACCTACACACTCACAGTCAGCTTGGAAAATTTCAGCCCAAATGCTGCAAGTCTTTCAAAATTATAAACAATTGAAAATAGGGTCTTATAATAGGAAGTGTCAGCCAACCTAACTAATAGTTGGCGCTCCCAGTCCTGTCTATAATTATTTAATCATTTATCTTTATTTTCCTTCTTTAACTTTTCTGTTTGCCATAGTTGATAGTACTAAGTTTTGGCAGAACATCCAGATCACTCACTTTAAGGAAAACAGAAGATGTCACAACTCTGCTTTTTCACATTTTCTTCTAAATTTTTTTTTTATTATTCTTTAAAAGAGTTTTTGCTGATTCTATGTAAGGTTTCCCCATCAGCGATATCAAGCCTGCCCAGATTGGAAGTAATTCTAGAGACTATTTTT